ACCACTCCCTTCTTCTTATCCCTCTTAAAGTTCTCCACACTCTCATTAGCAATTAAAATCTGGTATGTAATTTGTCTTCCACTCACAAAAGCTCCTTGATAGTGTGCAATGATATCTGACAGTACCTTCTTCAGCATCAAAGACAACAATTTTGCAATGATCTTATACAAACTATTAACCAAACTTATTGGCCTAAAATCCTTCGGGTGGGATGCATCTTTCTTTTTTAGAATTAAGGCTATAAAAGTAGAGTTTACACCCGGATTGACAATTCCTCTCTTGAAAAACTCCTCAAACACCCGCAAGAGATCATTTTTCAAGATATCCCAACAATCCTAATAAAAAGCCATTGTAAATCCATCCGGCCTTGGAGCTTTTGTTCTATCCATAGAGAACACAACCTCCTTGATCTCTTCTATATTAAAGTTTCTTTCCATCATTCTCCTGTTCTCCACCCCTACATCTGGCCAATCCAAACCTTCTAYCCACACCCTTCTACTCACAGGCCTTCTTAGAATAGATTTAAAGTGTTCCACACAAGTCCTGGCAATCTCCTCTTGCTGTACTAACTCAACTCCATCTACTACTAATTTGGAGATAAAGTTCTTCCTTCTCCTGCCATCTGCTAGAGAGTGAAAATACCTAGTATTTCTATGTTTTAATACAAATAAATTTGCACTGATACAAAATCATGGCAGTGCAAATGATTTGAGTGTAAATTCTGACCTATTTTTGTTTCAAATTTTAGTTTATTTTGTTTGTAAAAATGAAATAAATTAAGACATGAAGCAGAATAAAGTAAAATCCAAAACAAAATTAAACAAGAATTTACATTCCCATGCATTTGTACTAGTACAAATAAAATTACACTGCAACCGAACACAGCTCAGCCCAGAGTAAGGTAGGGCACCAGGTAGGGTGTAAATTGCCATCCCGGCACACCGAGAAAGGTAGACCTGTTAGGCTGTTAGCCCACGCATGACATACAGTTTTATCGTCAACAAACGTACTCATCAGAATTGTTGGATCCTGGAGCAGAATGGGATTGTGGTTGTCCTTAACACGTCAACCTAGTTTCAAATCCCAATTGGCATATCCAACCATACAGCGACAGATAATGAAACCCAATCCATTGGCATCCCATCCCATGGACCAAATGGCCAAACCTCTTTTGATTGTGATTGCACTATGGTCCCCTGGGGCTGAGGTAACCCGGAATAAATTCATGGCTGTGTCCCATTAAAATCAAAATTGGAAGATCAAAATTCTACCATCTTCTGTTTCCAGTTTACCACCCCAATTTAAACAGCCTCAGGGTTCTATAGTAACAAAAGCAACATCTGGCTATTTTGCAACTTCTAGTAAATGGGTTCAGAAGAATCGTAGCACTTGACTGGAAGAAGATAGAAAGGAAGGAGGAGAATCAATTGCCAACAGCTAACTAGTAAATGGGTTCAGAACACTGAAATTCTCATGCCCATAATATTGCCATATCATTTTGCATAATCTGCAGACAGTTATCAACCAACAGTATCATTTCTTTTGATTTCTCTGTTGCATGCAATATGCATAACCAGGTTACATTATTAAAACATTGATAATAAATTTCCAAGTCTCGTCTCCCAAGCCCCCAGAAGCCTAGCTTCTCTTCTTTCCCAGTATTATTATCGAACATCTCCACCTATCTTGGTTGTTGCCACTGAGAAACAGAGACTACCAGTGTACTTCTCAAGTTTTTCTAAGCTATTAGAGGAACATCTTCAGGAAGGCCTTTGGTTTAGATGTTCAATTTCTATACTTGTACATGTTAAAATTGGAGTGATCTCTCATTCTTTTCTTGTACGTTAAGGAAAAGTGGAGAACAAGATTGACAGCATCACAAATTAGAGCGTTTGAGGTAAACCAGAACGCTGATTCCTGCCAGTACAGCTACACCTGCCACAAGCCCTGACTGAAAAGATAACAAACCAGGTTTCTGAACAGTGGTTGTAGCCAATGCTGATGATGACTCCATTGTGTTCTTTCTTGCATCATCGTTGATATGCAACCTTAGGACCTGAAATGGAATATAAGCACCTCATTATAGAAAAATAATGAATATCCAAATCCAAGAACCCAAGGTAGAAAACCAACAAATATTCAAATCTCCATGAACAACTACCGGTTGTAGTTGAAGCCTATGGAAAGCATGCATGGATCCCAGACTTTACAATGATCCATGCTGTACAAAGTACAATTATAGGTTCTGATACCGGTGTCAGGTGTTAGTACATGTCTAAGAATTGAATATTTTGATCCCAACATTTTTACCACTAGAAGGGAGTATCTGGAACCCAAATCTTGTCCAAAGTGTCCGAAGTGCAGACATGGGTACTTTGGGGTAAATAGAAGGATACAGCCAAGATTGCTGCTGTACACCCACAATCCACATAGATTCACACTGAATATTTATGACAAAGACACATGGATTGTGCTCTCCTGATAATCTAAATGTTATATTGCACTTAGCAGAATTAGGCAAAGACAATGATAATAATATGGTGGGTCTTGAAAAAAGAAAGGGGTTCAAAACATATATATACCTAATTAAGGATATGTATGAGGGGGCAAACATCAATATTAGAACATCAGTGGTACAAACTTCAAATTTTCTAGTTACAATAGGAATTGACTAATATGTGTGAATAAACCCTAGTTGTTTCTAGGTCAAAGTAGAGAAGAAGAAAGAAGAAAGAAAAGAGAAAGAAGAAGGAGAGGAGAAGAGTGTTCGGCCAGACTAGAAGAGAGGATGTTCAAAAGTCACTCTCCTA